TTATTTGGTGGACTTTGAAATTCCTATTGAGGGATCGAGGAGAACGATAAAGGCCTTCCTTTCTCGTGATTAATTTAGAGACTATATCCAGAGATCGAAAGATCGAAAATGGATGTCAAAATAGAATGTATATATATATATATATATATATGTAAGAAATTTTTCGAACGAGCGTTGAATGAAAACGCATTATTCCTCGTTATCGCTTGCTTTGCCGCTATCTCGATCGAACTTATCAAACCGCGGAAACGTGGCATTGTATTTATCACCTAGCTAACAGTTAGATAACGGGGAAAAAAAAGGGGGGAGAAAAAAAAAAACAACTCGAATTTATTATACATTGTTTCACGGTCTTCAAAATCGAACTTGTTAACTTCCCTTCCTCCTCCTCCTCCTCCCTCCCCCTCCTTCTGCCGATGATTTATTATCGCGAGGTATTAATTGTCCATTTATTTGACAAACGTGTTCGATGATTTTGATTGGAGCAAGAGGACATGCAATTGGTACCAAATTTGAACGATTCGTTCGTTTCGTACTCGACGAGTAAATGTTGATTAATATGTCGATCGATGCTTCTTTCCAATTAAATGTAACATCCATTATAACGAGTTGACAATTTCCTCCGTGTCGTCGATTATTTTCGACAGGTTGATAGGATATTTCGCTGTTTATCGACAATGATCGCGTTACAGGATGATTCGTTAATCATTTCGTTTATCCGTCCCCTCGATTCTTTATCTTTTTTTTTTTTTTTTCGCATAATCAACGTCCCCGAATAATCGTGTTTTTATTAACCGATTAGCTTCAGTAAAAATTTCGTCGCGAAACGATGGGGGCGGGAAAAAATTTCCCAGTACAGGGGGAATCTCTGTAACCTATTCGGATTGAATTTGAGAAATGTTGTCTCTCGTTCTCTCTCTCTCTCTCTCTCTCTAGAAAAAGGCACGCATCCTCAAAGGTTTGTTTCATTGCAACGGGTGGCGGGCAAGTCCCAGCGGGTATGTGCACAAAATGCAGACTCGTTCCATTTACGTATTCTCAAAGACTAGGCGAGCTTTTACACGGTTCACCTTGAGCCTTCTGCTCGAGAAACATTCGAATTTAATTTCACCTTTTTCAACTATTTTCTCATCTTGAGAAATGTAAATTATTATTATTATCTTTTTTTATTTTCTCTTTCCTCTTCCGCGAAGATGGCGCGAAGATCTGAATATTCAAAAAGAAG